CTAAAAAAAAAAAAAAAATGATATTTGGTCAGATTTTTGGGAAGTGGCTCAAGCAGACAACTTTTCAGCACTCTCCTGAATGTGCGTATATGCATGGGTGTGCACATGTACATGCACACTTATACCCTACCCTGTAATAGTTAGGGTCTTAGAAATTTAAATATTTACATAAATTTGTGTGTCTTTTTGTCCCATTTAAAATAACAATCACACCATTTCAGAAAAGGGAGATAAAGGCTTTATACTCAATACAAACATGTATCTTCTTATTTGTCTATTTATTCCATAGTTTAATATTGCAAAAGAAAATTTAGCAACAAGTGTTAATAATGATGTTAGTGCCTATTTCCAATGACAAAACAACAGTTAAATTTACTCATTTAAAATAAAAGGACAAATAAAATAAGGACACTGGCAAGACCAGATTCCGAAGCCACACAAAAAAGTCTTTGTTTAATCCAACTTTGAAATGGATTTTTACTCATTTAACATCAATAAGCTACTCTGATACAATTTATAATAGTTGGGTTGGTAACAAACAACATTCCCACCCTTCAAAATTCACTGGACCAAAAAAAGACTTAAGCATTTACTATTGAAACTATAGTGCTCGTATTATAAAACCTCGAGTTTACTTGAGTAAAAGGATTGTATACTCTGAAATTTTGTTAAACCTTATATTGCAAAAACTAGCCAAATTTGAACAGTAATTATCAAAAAATGAACCTGGTAAAAATAACTTGGTTGCAGATATTTTGTGCAACTCCAGGTAGGTCTTGTGACTAGTCAGTCCAGAAGCACCTCATAATGAACTATTATTTTTATAAAACTGTAATCCATCCACATCCCTTCTAAAAGAAAATATCTTTTCCCAATTTGTTTTTATTTTTTCAAACAAACTTTAACATCTGAGAAGGATTACTGTATCTATGCAGAGTACTAATGTGATCAATAAAGATCAATTGACCTTACAATATTCTTTATGGCTGTGAGGTACTGACTAGTTCAGTACAAATCTATATAATAATTGATTTGATTTTATCACTAAGTTGAATTTATTAAGTGCTATTCCGTTCAACTTAAGCATCAAAATTCCTGTGTGTGTATTCTTATATGTGACTGTAATGTCTTTAGTCAATATAGATTCTAAAATTCTAGGTAGTTCTCTTCTCTAATACACATATCTGTTATATGGTTGTTACTTTTTTCTATTTTTTTCTTTTCTTTTCAGTAGAGGGTCAATGAAATAATTTTTGGTATAATCATTCCCGAGTCATTACAAGTATTTAACAATAAAAAGGAAGAAAAGGAAAATATAGGAAAATACATAAAACTTGATCTATAATTATCAAATGATTGGTAAAGATGTGATATTCAATAAATAAAACTTTAAAAAATATATTGTCCGAAGATTACAGGATTTGGTAGTATTTTTCATTAAAATGTTTTTTTTTTTTTTATGAAGTAGACAAAAGCTCTTTTGTTAATAACAAAAAATAAAATGAAATCTTCTCATCTCAAATATTAAAACAAAATCATCTCTTGAAAATTCAATCAAAAACATGTTTGTTAGATTTTTTTTTTAAAGTAAATCTTTAAATATTTTTATGCTTGATGTATTTTTTTAAAGAACCATACAATATTTAAACTTTATTTTTTTTTTTTTAAAAACAAATTTGCCAAAGTTACTATTTCTCAATTTTTTTAACAATTTCCAAATGATGCAATTATTGAAGAGGAATACTTCTTAAGATATCATTTGTACACAGATTAACCCATTTAGGTTTTATCAGCATAAACATGGTAGTCATTTGGAAATTTTATAAACACAACTTATTCTATCAAGTGGTTGGTTTTGTATGTGTTAGCTCAAAGAATTAAAAATGATTAAAATTAGTTCCAATGAAGTAAATAATTATATATTATTCTGAAACTTAAAAGGACAAATATGAAATAAGAAAAACAATGATTAGTTGCAACAGAAGAAATCATTATGAGACTTAATCTTCAGCACTCTGTAAGCAACTTCTTTTGTTGAGCAAAAAGTTTGCCTTGCCAAAACACGTAGTTTGAAATTGGTTCTGACATCCTGCTAAAATAACAGAATAATATTGGAAAAATTGACAACAGTGCATTTGCTGTTGAGGAAGCCTTGAAAAAAAAAACAAAAAAAAAACAAAAAATGCAGTGGAAAGGGAAGTAGTATTTGAGAATAATACCGAGTGCTAAAGATTAAGAAAACCAAATGTCAATTGCAATTCAAACTGAAAACAAGGACACAAGGGTTGTGTGTATGTTTGTATGATGTATAATAATTATAAAAACAAAAGTGAAGATGATAAAAAGTGAAAAAGAATATAAATGATGCATTTTGTTAGCGTCTGTTGAACTATTTCTTCCAAGTGGAATGAAAGACAAAATTGTGTGTGAGGAAAATGCGTTGGGATTTTTTAAGACAATTTTAGCCAGATACATCTGGTTGCAATTATAACAGACTGATGGTCAGCCAATGTGCTTTCCAAGGAATATCAATGGGATTTGAGACAGTCACTTATCTGTTACTGAGGACAATTCTAAGCAAAGACCCCTGGTTACAATCATAAAAGACCCATGGTCAGCAACTGTACTGTCCATGGTGAGCAATAAGGCCTTTTGGCAAATATTCCTACTGAATATATTACACCATATATCAACAATAGACAATGTCCTATCCGCCTGACCATCATTATCATGCTCTGTCCAAAATATAATAATTCATGTTGAACAGCCTAGCCAGTGTTCAGAGACCCAGTGATAGAGGACTGAGCATTTCTATGCCCTATCAAGGTATGGTGGCACCAACTACCATTACTTACTACTATCCCATGACTTTTGACATGATGGTTTATGTCTTGGAGAAATTCTATTTGTTTCATTTTTATCTCAATTAAGTTTTAATTAAATTTTAAGATAAAAATTAAACAAATAACTACTGAGTGAGAATTTGAATTATCTCCCCTTTTTAATGCTGATGTACTACAGAAAAATGTCAATGCTGCTTCAATTTGTGTGATTTTGATTAACACATAAGCAATTTCTTAATAGAAAATCAAATAGCATGCCCGAAACTTCAATAATGATAACAATTAAAAGGTAATTAATAATTATTTAGATTTCAATATGACATTTTTCTTATTGCTCTCCATTTCCTTTCAAACTGCTTCCTTGCCCAGTTATAAATCATTGACTCATGTGTGCACACATTTTCATAACAGTATTAAGTAAATCTCAACCAACAAGATAAAAAAAAAAGAAAGAAAACACTATTGGATCTCAATAAAATTGTTTAAATTTACTAATGAAAAGTTTAGTTTGTAAAAAAAACTTTTGGAAATGCTTTTTCCAAACCCATCCTCCAGCTTTATTTAATTCTACATTAAATATTATTTGGATACTTAAATTATTTATATTTCTAAAAGGGTAAATCCCTCAGGGAATTTAAATCAATTAAAATTTTATTCAAGGCTTTGATCTGTGAAAGAAATGACTCAAACAGAATTTTTGGGAACAGTTGAAATTTTGATATAGCAATGAGTTGCAGCCAAACCCAGACACAGAACATTGCAGTAAAAATTTACTGTAATTTGGAAGCAGCTGCACTTATATTGCAAGATGTAAGAAGAAAGAAAAGAAAGAGAAAACAAACTTACCTAACTACTTTCTACTAAGTTCAAAATTGATTATGTGGAGGTAGTGGCAAGTTCTCAGTCCAACCAAGAGGGGAATGATTTTGAACCAAATGTTATTTCAAGATATTTTCTCTACAGTCCAACACACTTAGCATATGGTTTTTCAGATTTAAGCTTCCAGAAATACTGCTCTGCCACTATTACTCAACAAATAATTTGAAATTTTCCTTTTTTTTTTTAAACTTCTTTTAAGGTTTAGAAACAAAATAAATGGAGTCAGATCTGAGGATTAAAATGCATGGTCTGTACACTGAACACCTAAAATTTCAAAACATCCATCATCTTGCCAGCCGTATGAGCAGATGAATTGTTTTACAAAAATAGATCACCTTTCCACAGATTTCCTATTTTTTCCTTCCAACACCTCCTTTAACTGGAACTGCAAATTAGTTACCAAAAAGCCTACTTATCCCCACCCCACCCACAAAAGAAAAAAGTGACATGACCTTTTCTGCTGACTTCGATTCTTAAATTTTCTTTGGCTGTGAAGAATCCAGATTTTGTTGTTTGGATTCTGGATCATAGTCATTTGATAAAACATGGTTATGTTTTATCAATAGTATTTCCAAAACATTATCACTAGGTCACTGAAAATACTGCAAAAGTAACTTGGAGGCATCCACTCATTACTGTATCTGGTCAGCATTCAAACATTAACACTTACTTAGCTGACTGCTTCTGTATACCAAACTTTTAACTAAAAACCCAACATATTTCTTGGATATCTTTAGTGTCAGGAACAATTCCTTTGTCCAAGATTCAGCCAAAATTAGGTCATGAATACTATCAACAATTTTAACAGTTGACACTATTTGAACGCTATGCTGCATCTTGGAATTTAAAATATCCATTAGGAAGTTGGCTTCTTCACAGCTGAAGTATAATGGCTCCTTGTTATAATAATGGGCAATGCTTGCTTTTTCCACTCATGAACTTCCTTTAGAGTTTTCTGCTGCAGGAACAGGATCTTTGATGCGCCAGAGTTCAATACTTGAAAAACTTATTCTAGACTTTCTGTTGAGATGGTTCAAGTCAAAAACAAATTTAAAAATATGTGAAATGATCCTGCAAATTGGCACTTTACAATATAAACAAATGCTCTTTTCTGCTAACGATAAAATAACGATCCAATTTTGGGAAGTGGATTGAGCAGAGAACATTATTTACTGTAGTTTCAATTCATGCAAAGTTTTTTGAGGACACATTAGCCACATTAATTGGAGATTTCCTGTAATTTTATTTATTCTTTCTTTTCAAGAATTATATTTACAA